TGTCTGCAAATATGATGAAAATATTTCAAATATTACAGAACGACATATTAGTGCTTGTGTGTTTTACGGCTTATAACTGTATATATCATTTAGATAGATTAATATAAAATTCATATAATCTACTATTTATTTAAAATCTGCTATTTATCTTGTTTGTACAGTTGAAGTCAGAAGTATTTGCCCCCATTTGAATTTTATTTTCTTTTTTAAATATTTCCCAAATGATGTTTAACAGAGCAAGGAAACTTTCACAGTGTGTCTGATCATATTTTTTCTTCTGGAGAAAGTTTTATTTGTTTTATTTTGGCTAAAATAAAAGCAGCTTTTCATTTAAAAAAAACATTTTTAAGGTCAATATTATTAGCTCCTTTAAGCTTAAATTTTTTCAATAGTCTACAGAACAAACCATCTTTATAATAACTTGCCTAATAACCCTATCCTGCCTAGTTAACCTAATTAAGCCTTTAAATGTCACTTTAAGCTGTATAGAAGAGTCCTGAAAAATATCTAGTAAAATATAATTTACTGTCATCATGGAAATGATAAAATAAATCAGTTATTAAAAATGAGTTATTAAACTATTATGTTTAGAAATATGTTGAAGAAATCTTCTCTCCTTTAAACAGAAATCGGGGGAAAAATAAACAGCAGGGCTAATAATTCTGACTTCAACTGTATGTAATATGTACAATGTAATATGGACAATAATGTAATAGCCATGATTATAATACAGACATTAAAGCAGAAAGTATTGTTATGATTTAGATTCCATTGCACATGCCCTGTCCTTTAAACATGTTCAACACTTACTTACACATACACAGTAAAGGTAACGTTTTAGGTAACATTTTATTTTCATTTTATCCTCCTTTAAACATTAAGTTGACTACAAGTATTTTCGCAACTTCACATCAGCCAGCAGTCGTTATAGTATTAGTAGACTCTCTGGTCAGTATCTGTTAAAACTGCTAACACTTTTGAGCTTCTCTTCTCTGTGATATAGGCGTAATATTGTCATTCACATGTTAAATGGTGTACATTTCATCCGACATAACAATGTTTGCAGGTGAAAAAGTGCAGCAGTCACATGACAGTGCTGGTGATTGACAGTGACACTGAGAAGAGTTATGCCCGCCGCAAAATGCCAATTCTCCCAGCCATGGCTGATGCAGAAAAAATGCCGTATCGGCCTCAGAGACTGCATCTGGTGATGGGGCCTGATGGATACGGCTTTCTGCTCAGACAGGAGAAGGGTGGAGCTGGACGCACCGGTAGGCGGATACATATTCATCCAGACATGCATATCAATGTATAGTCCACATATTTATGGTTGGTTTATACAGTTCACATGGTGAGAGAGGTGGATAAGGGCAGCCCTGCTGAACTGGGAGGAGTCAAAGAAGGTGAGATGCTTCTTGAAGTGAATGGAGAGTCCACAGACCCACTGAGCCATGAAGATGTTGTCAGCAATATCCGACAAAGTGGACAGCAGGTCACCCTAACTACGATGACACCTCAGGGTTATGACTTCTACACTAAGGTGAATACTGACTGAGCAAATAAACACGATTGGGGGGTTTCATCGGGAAACAGGAAAGGCATGAGGAGCAGGATGAGGATGGTTACTTACTGGCTGTTGGCACAGAATTTAATTTTTATTTTAAATGATGATTCATTGTAAATGCTTATTATATTTTAAGTCATATTATATCTAAATTCTAGGTATATTAATATATTAATAATTATTTATATGTAATAATATATAAATATATTATAATTATAATTCTAAAAATAAAAGTTATGAAAATAAAGAGCTATGAAACTAGGCCTAGGCCTATATATATATATATATATATATATATATCACCCCCCAATTTTTTATATCATTTTTTTTTATTTAAAAATAAACACTACAAAATAGTTTACTAATGAATTTTTTTTATTATTTAAAGTTCTTACAATTTTATCTTGGCACCACTGATAATAATAATTACAGAAATACTAAACTACACAAATCATTTGTTGTTTATTACATGTCCCTTAATAAAAAAATCACACATCATCAGATTTGTTAACCAAAAAAGATAATCTCATCAGAACTGTTTAATTTTTATTTTAAAATAGCAACTTATGCGTAGGTTCCTCTGTTCTTATGCCTGTTATTCATCTGTTAAACCTCAAACTTTTTCTCAGTTGGGTCTCTCTCCCTTGCTGTTCTGTGTGGATGTCCCATCTGCCATCCCTGAGGTAAAAAAGGAAATCCCAGTGACGCCAAAGCCTGCAGTGCCTCCTGTTGAGCCTCAGGAGGAGGTGCAGATCAACCCTAATGTTAGACGCTGTATACTGGAGAGGGGCTCGGCTGGTTTTGGCTTCCATTTGGGCTGCGTCCAACAGAAACCTGGCACCTTCATCAGCCAGGTACAGTACAATGAAGCCCATTCACTGGCAAATCAGCCCTTACACGATACTAACTTTAGATGTTGAGACAGAAGAGAAATGGAGATTTTTTTTGGACTCACTCATCCGTGGTAATTCTTCACAAAAACCTGGAAAATCAGGCCACTTGTAGGCCTCATAGTAGACTGTGTAATATTCAGTCTGTCATTGAAATCATTGAAATACATAAACATCAAGTTACAGTTCAAAAATGAACTAATACAACTCAAAAACATATTCCTGCACACTATGGGTAAATGTATAATTTCAAGTAAATATGAGCAACAAACATCCTTTTTGCTTTTACTATAGCAACATGCATTACATGTTTAGGTAGCGGCAGGCGGTCCAGGACAGAGTTCAGGTCTCTTTCAAGGTGATGTGGTGGTGGAGGTGAACGGACAAAATGTGGAGAAAGAGTCTTTGGAGGATGTGATCATGCATGTGAAGAGAGGAGGAGAAACCCTTTCTTTACTGGTCGTTGATCAAAAAGGTTATGATTGGCTGAAGCAGAACGGGAAGCCAGTCACACTAAACAAATTAGAAACAATCTCTGAGGTACAGTATGCAGTATCTATTCATTAACGAGCACTTTTGTACTGCACAAACCAAACATTTTTTTTTAAAATTCACTATTAAACAATCTATTTGATTTATATATATTACTTTATTCATGTTACAGTTGATCATGTACTATTTGTTACAGGTGGAGGAAAGTGTTTCAAGTTCTGCTGAACCAGCAAGAGTGAAGACCGGTGACTCTGATGGCCAGACTTTGTCCATTTAGTTTCATTTAGGATGAGCATTTAAACAGACCTGATATTGTCCATTAGATCGATGCATTGAGGATGAGGAATAAACAGAGATCCACTGGTTGGCTAATTTCTCTGACCAATAGCCATACTACACTTTGCACTTTGCCGTTTTTAACGATTGGAAACACTCACAATTTTGAGAGCATATGTGTGTCTGAATAGTTAAATCAGTATGACTGTGGCATAAAGACATTTATTTATGTGTCTCTGAGAAGTATTATTTCTTTGATATTACTGTTGTATTCACTATGTTTTTGCCAGGTTATGACCTTTATGAGTTATGAAACTATTTAAGCATTGTATCATTTCATCCTGAATAAAGTATGATTAAAATGAGTTCTATTTTTTTTCTCTTTCTCATTTATGAATTATATTAAAGTTATTTATTTATTTACTTACACAAAAATACACTCACCGGCCACTTTATAGGTGCACTATACTTGTACCGGGTTGAACCCTCTTTGATTCAGAACTGCCTTAATCCTTCATGGCATAGATTCAACAAGGTACTGGAAATATTCCTCAGACATTTTGGTCCAAGGTTGATACAAGGTAGGATGGATCCATCCTTTCATGTTGTTGATGCCAAATCCTGACCCTACCATCTGAATATCACAGCAGAAATCGAGACTCATCAATGTTTTTCCAATCTTCTATTGTCCAATTTTGGTGAGCCTGTGTGAATTGTAGCCTCAGTTTCCTGTTCTTAGCTGACAGGAGTGGCACCCGGTGTGATCTTCTGCTGCTGTAGCCCATCTGCCTCAAGGTTCGACGTTTTGTGAGGTCAGAGATGCTCTTCTGCATACCCCAGTTGTAACGAGTGGTTATTTGGGTTACTGTTGCCTTTCTATCAGCTCCAAGTCTGGCCATTCTCCTCTGACCTCTGGCATCAACAAGGCATTTGTGCCCACAGAACTGCCACTCACTGGATATTTTCTCTATTTCTGATCATTCTCTGTAAACACTAGAGATGGTTGTGTGTGAAAATCCCAATAAATCAGCAGTTTCTGAAATACTCAGACCAGCCCGTCTGGCCCTAACAACCATGCCACGTTCAAAGTCACTTAAATCATCTTTCTTCCTCATTCTGATGCTCTGTTTGAACTGCGCCAAGTATTCTTGACCATGTCTACATGCCTAAATTGAGTTGCTGACATGTAGTTGGCTGATTTGAAATTTGCGAGCAGATAGAATAGAAGTGGCCGGTGAGAGTATATTATATTTCTGAAAATGCTTGTTGGTATTAATGCATTGGACTAAAACCTATTGACTTTGCTGACATTGGGTTTAGTATATCTTTACAAAAATATTTTTAATTTCATGTAATTATTTGCTTATTTTTCTATTGTTTTATAGCCTTTTTTGGGGGGGGGGGGGTCCTATGTCAGGAATACATTTTGACTATATCTGAATCTTTAATATAACAACAAACATTTATTTACATTTGTATTCCGTTTGTCCCCTTTAGTATTCGTACAGTAACATTTTAGTCGGCCATTTTATGCCCTCTTTATTTATACTTATTGAATATAATATTTCAGTTTTTAGTTGGGATTCACAAAACTGCTTTCATAAACAGTACTGTTTTGTTCAACATTAGCAGATACCAGCTACATAAATATTCTTATTTAAACAACAGACATGTAATTATACGGATGTTCGGAATTTCCGTCAGGCATATATTTTGTCTCCTCGAATGAAGGGTCCTTCGCTGGAGGTGACATTCATTGAAGGGCCCCCGGTTTGTGGAGAGAAGCGGCTAAAAAACCTTCAGTCACAGAAATCATGGCACAGGCGGTGCAGAAACTCGTGGCTAAAGTGCCAACACTTGTCGGAGGTAAGAAAAATGTGCTTTTTATCTATGAGGTAGAGAACATTTACTCTTTAGAGTTGAGTGTTTCTGGTTTCCGCTGCTGTTAGATTAAGGTTAGGCCGCGTAAAATATTTCGCGCGTGAAATCAGACAAACACTACAATTATTATACACACAATTAAAGTGGTGATATGCTTGTGCAAATGAAAACGCAAACAATTGCGTTATCGCTTTAGTATTTTGTTTAGTGTGTCACTGTTCATTTTGTATGCGCGCAGCGATATGCTAATGCTGTCAGTTCGGAGCAGTGGACAAATGTCATTGTGTGAATATGCATTCTAATCAAACTGTCGAGTTACTTTGTTCTTATTGAATTTGTGATGTTCTCGTTATAAATAAGAGTCTGTATTTTTCTCGGTTATTAACGTGTATATTGATCTTTCTCTAGCCGCAGTCAACTACTCCAAGCCCCGGCTAGCCACATTCTGGTATTACGCCCGTGTGGAGCTGGTGCCTCCAACCCCTGCCGAGATTCCCAAGGCCATCAGCGGCTTCCAGGACATGCTCAAGGCCTTTCAGTCAGGACGGGTCGGTCAGACAACAGTCAGGGTTAGTATGAACTGGATTCTTTAAAATTCAGTTTTACATTAATTTATCATACGACTGTGTTGGCATAAAATTAATTTTCTTTTCGGGTTAGTCCCTTTATTAATCTGGGGTCGCCACAGCGGAATGAACGACCAATTTATCCAGCATATGTTTCATGCAGCGGATGCCCTTCCAGCTGCAACCCATCACTGGGAAATTGGCATAAAATATTTGTTAAAATGTATTTTGTAATTAGTCTGAGGTGCATAATCGCGTTCAAGATCTTTTAGCTTTACCCAAAAATGTTAAATTGTCATGTACTCTCTTCACTTGTTCCAAACCTGAGTTTCTTCTGTTCAACACAAAAATGTCATGAAGAGAGCTGAAAACCTGTAATCATTGTCTTCCATAGTATATGTTTTTCCTACTATAAACATCAGTGGGTTTACAGGTTTTCAACTTTCTTCAAAATAGCTTCTTTTTTTGTGTTCAAAAGAAGAAACTTAGTAAATTTTTGATTTGGGGTAGACTATCCTTTTTAAAATGTTTAAATCTCAAGATTGTGCTCAATGTTTTGGAAATGTTAGTGTTAGCCACCATGTTTGGAATTTTTTAGCAAGTTACAGGTATTATCTTAGTAGAAGAATTAATTTGCCTTTCTACATTTTAAGAATTTAAAAAGTCCTAAATCAGAGCAGAAAGGTTTAACTTCATAAGGTTTACAAGCATAAGATGTTCCATGTATCTCAATTTGTAAATGTAATGTATAATATTCTTCAAAAACATTTTAAATCAACATATATTTACTTGATATGATAAAGGATATTGATTGAAGAACGTGTAGATGTTGAAACCATAAACAAAATTATATATATATATATATATATATATATATATATATATATATATATATATATATATATATATAGTTATGTATATATAGTTATGTATTAAATTATTTTGCAGTGTGATCAAAAGTGTTTGGCATTTGGGAGCAAAATTATTCAAACAAACAGTATTGCTAATACACCTTTTTTTGTTATAAATTTGTCTAAATTCTATATATTTCATGTACAGAACATGTAGACGTGTTCCTATCAAATAACTCTGTAAATGCTATTTACTTGGTCTTTAAATAGTCTTAAATTTACCTTTATTTGCTGCATTTAAAGAAATATGCTCCATATGTGCAATGACAGGCAGGTTCTCCCTAACACTAAGTCTAAAAGTCAACTTCATAAGACCAACTGAAGCACTTGCTAGTTTCTTACTTTCTTGTAAATCAAAGCTTTTTATCTATTATATAAAATTTCTCTTTATTTTTCTAGCACTGTACAATGTAGATTGTACCAAAACATCTTTACATGGATGAAGAAAGGATAAAAAGCCATAACCGTATATCAGATTGTATAAGCATTCCAGCATATCAGCCAGGCAGAAGTAGTGGCAGAATACTGGTTGTGTAGTTAGAGTTAAATTAAAACTGATACAGTGCAGTTTAGTATAAATGTCACTGCTAAAGTTAAGCTTAATTCAGTTCAGTTTAATATTAATGCACTGTACTATTCTGTGCTCTTTTCACTTATCAAACTGAACATTCAGTTTTTCACAGGGTATTATTTAAGCTGTTCTTTTCTTTTTAATTCTCTTTTTTGTAAATTGTATCAATGAGAGTTCCAAGAATATTCATGTAATGTTTCCTTTATTTGCCACAGGATGCTGTGAGGAATGGTCTTGTGGCCACAGAAGTTCTGATGTGGTTCTACATCGGGGAGATCATTGGGAAGAGAGGCCTCATTGGCTATGATGTATAAATGTGGACTGTCCTGCTTGCTTGTTCTCTTGGCTGAGCTTTGTCTGTTTTCTTTATCAGATTCTTGGAATCCAGGAACGAAATAAATGAATATTATTAACGAAATATCACCCTTTTGAGGTTCTTTACTTCCAGTGGACATATTTGCCACTGTATAACGGTACAGTGAATTAACAATAACGTTTAAGCTTTGTGGTTGTCAATCGTAGATCTATTTAAAGTAGAATCCATGCATTTTCCAATTTTTACACTAGTTTAGCGATTTCAAAGAGAGCCCTTATTGAAGGATACAGAATCTTTCCTTTACTCTTAAATCAAGGTGATTTTAATGCGATTGTATAATAAATTGAATCGTGATCACATTTTGACAATATAATTGGCGAACAGAGGACTAACATAATTTTTTTTCATGTATAGACTTATCTAATATACATAAAGTACAAAATGTGTATTATGTTATAATTGACATCTCTTCACGTTCTTGGCTTTCTGATAGCATCCGCATAACTTTTCCCAAGTATTTGTTGAACTCCTGTCGGACCTCTTCAGGCTCTTCCTCAAGGTTTGAGTGAATGAGAGGCAGTTTGTTTAACTGTGGAGCTGCAAAGAAAATACATTATAATAATGTCATATTCATAATGGATACATAATGTCATGCGTCCAACAAATAATGTATATGATGAGGTGCCCAGAGGTTTACAAAAGTATCTTTCTTTATTCAATCAATCATTAATTTATTTAATGTAATGATAATTTCTTAAGTCAATCATTCATTAATGTATTTAATTATAGTTTATTTAATCAATCTTTTTTCCTAGACACGTTAAAAGAACTGATGCTATAAAGATACAATAGTCAACATCTAAAGTGGATCAAAACCTTTTATCAAAGTTGTCCTAAAGCTATTGAACAACAACTATTCTTGTTTTGGGATGATTTTGAAAAACTTTTTTTGATCCACTTTAAATGTTATCTACTATAGTGGAAGTTACCTAATGATGGACGGTTCGTGTCAGCCCCACTCCCTGGTTTATGATGTGCTATGAGTAAACACTGGCCCTCCAGCAGCCCTTGTGATGAGATGAATGCAGAGTACCAGGTCTCAATTTCCTTTAGATGACTGGGCACATCTGGGTTAAATACAACAGCTACCCCATTGGAGTCTTTCATCAAAGCTGGCCAGCATGATTCAAACCTGTGCACATACAATACTGAATGAATTCACCAAAGGAAAAAAATGAACAACTTTGATTGAGCAAAGTGGTTAATATTTAGTCCACTTACTTAAAATCTCCCGCACAATCCCACAGTTCCACATCACATGATGAACTTTTGTTGCCATTATGTAAATTGTGTGATTCAAACTCAAGAATCCTGAAGATGGAGAATTAATATTTGAGTGTCTAGTAACAACAAAACTGTGTACAGTTGAAGTAAGAATTATTAGCCCTCCTGAATTAATAGCCCCCCACAGTTTATTTTCCCCCAATTTATGTTTAATGGAGAGAAGATTTTTTCAACAAATTTCTAAACAATAGTTTTAATAACTAATTTCTAATAACTGATTTTATTTATCTTTGCCATGATGACAGTATATAATATTTTACTAGATATTGTTCAAAACACTTCTATACAGCTTAAAGTGACATTTTGAGGCTTAACTAGGTTAATTAATTAGGTTAACTAGGCAGGTTAGGGTAATTAGGCAAGTTATTGTATAACGATGGTTTGTTCTGTAGACTTGGAAAAAAATACAGAATAAAGGGGCTAATCATTTTAACCTTAAAATGTTTTTATTATTATTATTATTATTATTAACTGCTTTCATTCTAGTCAAAATAAAACAAATTAGACTTTCTCTAGAAGAAAATTTCATCAGACACACTGTGATAATTTCCTTGCTCTATTAAACGTCATTTGGGAAATATTTGAAAAAGAAAGAAAATTCAAAGGGGGGAGAATAATTCTGACTTCAACTATGTATATATATATATATATATATATATATAGATAGATAGATAGATAGATAGATAGAAGATTTCAGATTTTCAGATTTCTTTAACTATAGAGTATATTATACTACAATACACCACAGATAACTAACGTTATAGTAAATGTATAGTGTACTTATAAATATATTATTTCTATATATATATAAGTTCTTTAAATCAACCCACCTAACGCCTTGTGTTGGGCTGTAATCAGCTCCGATTGATTCCGTTGTATCGGAGAGAAAATTGGCCAATGCTGTTTTCCCACACTGACAGTAAAATATATCAATCAGTGATGAACAGTGAATTAATCATACACCGCATTTTACTGACAATCAAACTGCTTACCTCGCTTGGTCCAATTAATAATATTTTCACCTTAAACATGGTGAAGTACGTTAACGATAGAAGCAAGGCAAAAATACTATTCTGCTTAGCAAACGAGATAACGCTATCTTCTGTTATTAAATTAACATTTCTACTGCGTATACGTTAAAAAAGACAAATAAATAAAGCGTCAAATCAAAGCGACATTTTAACAGACATCGACAAGCAGCTAACGTTACATAAAGCGTACAATGAGCTAAAGCTAACTTATGGCTGACATAAACATCTCGTTTCCAAGGCAATGATGCTAGAGTTTAAACCTGCAGATTCGCCAAAAAGCTAAACTCGCTAAAAACTCGCTAAATTCGCTTAAAAACGACATAGTTGGAAATATGAAGTAGCTAGCAAAATATGAGTTCGTTTTTCTAACTTAACAAACATAAGATCAGGGTATAAAAGTTAGAAAAAAAACAAAGGCATAATATTACAACTTGTTTAACAAGGGACATGTATGTTTGACCTTTTAAGTATTGGCAGACTTTTTACAAGTATATTTTTTCAGGTTTTTCTAAACCAGTTTTAGTTTTTGAAACTTAATCATAAAAGGTTGCTTTATGTCTGAAGTGTGGGAGTTGTGTTTCCTCTAACAGCCACATGAGGACAGCACACATCTGTTTCAAATCCGACATGCCTGTGAATTGAGCGAATTCCGCACATTTTTGTCTTCAGTAAAGTCATCTGCAAACACAACACCTGTACGGCCAAGGAAAGCAGGTTTAACAACTAAATAGGTAAGTTAACACAGAGCTGCTAGCATAAACTATGACAATGTGAAATTATCCAAAGACCTCGTTCATAGTAGGCCTACCTAAACCACACGTAGCTAGTTTCAAGGAAAAAAACTTTACCCTAGAAAAACTATAAAAGTGTGAAGTTCTTTGAAAAAATGTTGAGAAAACTCGTTCATATCAGCTGTATGATTCATTGCTCACTGCTGCAGTATAAACACGCTCACCCACAGAATTGTTTAGCAGCTTACAACTAATTCTCAAAATAAACATCTTTTTTTTTTTTACTGAAAAAACCTGTTTTACACGCACACTGGTCAACAAGACAGTGACCACTGACCTCCAAACGTCTTATCAGTGTGTGATTTTTTTTTTTTTATTGGGTGAAATGAACATTCAAAATGAATGCTAGTAAATCGTTGAGTTTTTAGTTGTGTTGGAATTTTGGTCTTTTGGTTTGTTGTATTTTTCTGAATATTTTAGGAAGGTTTTGGACGAGAGAATTTATGTCCATCTTAATTAATATTAAAGGCTAAAAACCTGAATGTCTGCATAACATACAGTTAATGTCCAACACTATACCAGGGGTCACTAAAATTGGTTCTGGAGGAATGACAGTTTGTCTGGAAGTTTTGAGTACACCCACCTTAGTAATTAAGACCTTGAATAGCTTAATTACTGGCCAAGAGAAGTTTTTCTATGTGGGATAATTTTGCTCATTTATAGTGCATCTGGAAAGTATTCATAGCGCTTCCCCTTTTCCACATTTTTTAAGTTACAACCTTATTCCAAAATAGATTAAATTTTCTAAAAACTCTACACACAACACCCCATAATGACAATGTAAAGAAAGGTTTTTTGAAATTGTTGCAAAATTAATAAAAATAAAAAAGCTAAAAAATCACATGTGCACAAATATTCATAGCCTTTGCTGTAAAGCTCTAAATTGAGCTCCGTTACATTCTGTTTCCACCGATCATTCTTGAAATGTTTCAGCAGCTTAACTGGAGTTCACCTGTGGTAAATTCAGTTGATTGAACATGATTTGAAAAGGCATACACCTGTCTATATAAGGTCCCATGGTTGACAAAGCACAAACTAAGCATGAAGACAAAGGAATTGTCTGTAGACCTCAGAGACAAGATTGTCTTGAGGCACATAACTGGGGAAGGTTACAGAAACATTTCTGCTGCTCTGAAAATGTCAATGAGCACAGTGGCCTCCATCACAAGTGGAAGAAGTTTGGAACCACCAGGACTCTTTCTAGAGCTGGCCGCCATCTAAGCTGAGTGATCAGGGGGGAAGGTCCTTAGTCAGGGAGGTGATCAATAACCTGATGGTCACTCTGTCTGAGCTCCAGCGTTCTTTTGTGGAGAGAGTAGAGCCTTACAGAAGGACAACCATTAGTGCAGCAATCCACCAATCAGGCCTGTATGGTATAGTGGCCTGACGGAAGACGCTCCCCACCTGGGATTTGCCACAAGGCATCTGAAAAACTCACAGATCATAAGAGAGAAAATTATCTGGACCGATGACACTAAATTTGAACCCTTTGCATTGAATGCCAGGCGCTACGTTTGGAAAAAAAACATCTCTGGAGAGATCTGAAAATGGCTGTAGATGGCTGCTTCCCATCCAACCTGATAGAGCTTGAGAGGTACTGCAAAGAAGAGTGGGCAAAAAATCCCAAAGACAGGTGTGCCAAGCTTGTGGCATCATATTCATGTTCACACTGCACGTTCTCCCCACGTTTGCATGGGTTTCCTTCGGGTGCTCTGGTTTCCCCCACAAGTCCAAAGACATGTGGTACATGTGAATTGGGTAGGCTGAAATTGTCCTTAGTGTATGTGTGTGTGAAAAAGAGTTTATCGGTGTTCCCCAGAGATAGGTTGCAGCTGCAAGGGCTTTCACTGCGTAAAACATATACTGCATAAGTTCGTGGTTCATTCTGTTGTGGCGACCCTAGATTAATAACTAAGCCTAAAAGAAAATGAATGAATGAAATTATTCAATTCACCACAGTGAAAGAACAAAAACGTTTATGCAAAATGTGAAAATCACATAAGCTTTGCTATTGAGATGTGTTTTCATCTATTGTGCATTAAAATAATGTAATTTTCTTTCTTAGGATACAATGTATAGCTTTTTTGTTAATTTTGTAAACACAGCAGCAAAAACATGATCATGTTTACTAACAAATGTATGACAACAATTATTTCACAAAAAATATTATTTCTTTAGCGAACAATATGTATAACAACTTTATTGAAATATGAAGTCATTGCTGAATAATGTTGCTTTACAATAACAATAGGTCTTGCATTTGGATACACACATGGTGAGATTTTATTACAATAGTCAACTGAAAAAGATTTGATCAACTTGGGAAAGAATGTCCATCAATCATGCCTTCATTTAAGAGAAAAGTACACAGTTTGTGTATAGCGTCATTGCTGAAAAGTTATTTAATCCTTCCTGAACCTGTTAAAATTATTTAAACGACAGCTTACGAATGACATTCAACATTAAAGCCAGAGTAAAAAAAACAAATACAAAATCATTCAACAAAGATCAAAAATGTCAGTTCATCACTTTAGTTTCTTAATAATAAAAAAGCACACATCTCATGCAGTGTTCATTTCAATTGGCAGATCTTGACTGACGTTCCAACACCAAACCCAGGATAGAGGGGCTCGGTGAATGTGGTCTCGAAGCGATACAGACGTGTCATAGTATCACCGATACTGTAGAAGGACAAAACCCCTGCGGAGTGGTCCAGGAAGACACCTATTCTGGAAGAGTGAGGGCCACTAACAGCCTTGTCTGCCCTGTTATGCCAGGCCGAGTACCCAGTGTCAGAGCAGAGGAGGCTCCAGGACTTATCGTTGTAGCCCAGCAAACACAAGGAGCCTTTACCTTTACGGCTAATGCCCCGATAGGCCACTCCGATGGAGAATTCCCCACTCCACTCCACTTCCCAGTAGTAGCGGCCACCAGACAGACCCTCACGACACAGAACTTGAGCAAAGCTATCGAAGCGATCTTGGTTGTCAGAGTACGGCTGCAGGTCCCGGGTGCGAATTACCTTCTTGCCTCCTTCAGATAAGTACAGCTCCTTATGTGCCGTGTGTGAGTCTAATTTCAGCTGACAGTAGTCTGTAGAGGAGCATGAAAGATTGATTTAATGTGTTGGCCTTTATATTATATTGTGCATGTCTTCAAAATACACGATGTTATTGTGAGTAATGTCAGGAAAACAGTTATTTGACTTGAAAAAGTATTCAAAACTATAATCAATACAGATAAGATAATGATTATTTTCATGATGTGGCTAATAAGCAATAAATGGCCAATATTCTATTGTAATTCATCTGAATAATTATAAAACTAAACTCTTAATACTGTCAGTTCAGGCATCATAATGAATACTTTTTGAAAAAAAATATCTATATGTAACACATATTAGATTATTAATCGTTAACTTGGTTCTTGGTTAAATTATTTAAATGTAAAAATAGCAATAATGAGCATGCATAACAATATGTCCTTTTTAACAGATTTAAGATAATGGTGAGATGCCCAAAGTCGGGAATAGACCAAAGTTGGCCCATTGTAACCTTTGATTTGTCCCACCATCCCATCTGAATAGAGAGGGTGAATGATGGGGAGGTGGTTGGGGCGAATTCACTTTGATGGAGATTGTCGTTTTGAATTTAACAACCTTTTGTTCTTTGTTTTATTGCTGAGCTACAAAAAAGCCTACTGAAATTAAACGATTTAATTAAATGTTGTAAAGGAATCAGACTTTTAAAATATAAATACTGTCACTTGACAGATATAGGACAATGTACAAGACATCTGCGAGCAAATCAAGGTAAAGGCAGAAGCAGCTCAACTAGTGTTTTCAGCATTGAAATCCCTTGTGTTATAAATGGAATTGTTTATGTTTTTACTGCAATAAGTTCATTATAAAACGTTAAAACGATACTGTATTAGTTAATGATTTAAAGAAAAATATTTTTAAATATTACCAAATACATTATGAAATTGCCCTTGGCAAATTGAATAAATATGGTTTAGTATATATTCAGCCTACAGCCCTCTATCAAGTTTGGTTTGTTGGCCCTTTATAAGAAAAAACTTTGGGCACCCCTGATGTAGACAAACATATAGAATTTTAAAAATGTAAAATCATAATTTTTCCACTGTATGTACTTACATTTCAGAAACTCAGATCTGGTCTTAGGTTCTACAGGAGGCGAACTGTCCACTGTATGAATTTCTTTAGCTGAACAAAAAGGAACACACATTTCATTATACCACACACTATGTGTACTACAATCCAAACATTTAGAGTCAGATATTTACATTTGTTTTTTGCTGTTAAAAATTCAGAATGCCATTGTCAAAATGTATTTAAACAAACAACAGTTATTTAATATTTGTATGATATAAAATAATATTAGGGGTTTTGTTTTATAATATATCCAGCCTTTAT